AACGGACTATTTGTATTTAGGTGAAACTGTATTAGTTGTTTTTGTAATCAATCATGCAATTTACTAACCATGTAAACAGAGGACTGTCCTAATATCACGAACTTCGTCTTTACGGAAAATTATAGTGGAAAAACATAAACAAAATCTTGTATCCTTGATAATCCAAATCAGGTATTCCAAATGGATGATAAAGTTCCAAGTTTTGACAGAAAAGCTTTTCATCTTATATACACACTATTTATTTCTAGTCATATCAAGGATAATTAATAACAAGGGAAATATGCAGAAATACCAACTTTTATTTTTGGGTTTATTACAAAAACTACACCCTTGGTCCCAATCATAGTCATTTTTATGGTCAAAACATGTAAACATGATATTTCTATAACATAAGAAAAAATGACGCATATTTGAAAATTTCTCTAATAACAAAAACCATTAAAATAGTCGAAAGCCACCATGAAGCTAAGCAAAATTGCTATTCTTGAGGCAGGAAAAGATTTCCTGATTCTAAATTACGTTCTAATTCTTCTTTCGTTCTGTTGGATGATTGACATGTATATATATAACTGTGCATGAACACGTATAATTCATCCAACAAAATGAGACATGAATTGAAATATAATTTCTGAATAAGAAATCTCATTATTCAACCTTTTTAAAATAGAAACAAAATTTGACACGGTCAAAAAACAATTTACCGGTTGTTACTAGGTTTGAAGCTCAAACGAGATGGTCTGACGTGGAGCTTAGTCCCAGCGAAGGAACTTCCGGCGAGGCCCTTAACGGTGGTGGGCTGGGCCGCGGCAAAGGTTGCTAGTGAAGCCATTATGCTTTTCCTTGTGTGTGTGTGGATTTCATCTTTGTGGAATGTTTTTAATATTTTCATCGGATGTTGGACCCCACGTGAAGACATGGTTTTCCTACAAGTGATATAGAACCCATTGAACGGGGGCCACGTGGGTTCTTGTTGGATAAGCCAATCTATCTAGGTTTCTATTTTTAAATATATTGTAAAAGGAAAAATGTTGTTTTGGTATCTTAATTATTCCCGTTTGTCAATTTTTGATATCTTATCTATTCACTTAATCATACCCTATCTAATGAAAGTCCATCATTTTTGGTAAAAAACGTTAACTAGTCGTCTTTGACTGACGGCTAACCAATTAAAGTAGGTGGAAAGTTCATAAGTTACGAATTAACGCTAAGTTTTCGGTCACTCACTCTTTTTGTTCCCAATCTGCAAACCTAGGGCACGCATGATGCCACTGCTCTTCATCCCTCTGCCGCTCTTCATTTGAAGTATTGCTTCTCCATGGTGTTGATTTTGTCTATCATATATGATCTTATTGATTTTGCATCTCCAATGCTTTAATGTTGTTATAGAATAAATTTTGACAAATGTCAATAAGTTAAATGGATTGTGAACCATGTAGGAAAAATGTTATGCTTACAACTATGAAAATAAAAAATTGTCTCAAATGCACAATCGAGCTACAATATTATCTACTTACCAAATATTAAAATGTAGTAAGAAAATTAATTAAATAACTAAATAATTTAGATTTGTAAGAATAATTCCCTCTCTTCTAGATCTTTATTGGCTAGTTAAAGTGTGAAGGAGAATGTGGATGAATCACATTTTTCTCTGCATCGTAGACATTAATTATGTCCACGTCATCACAATATTTGTGATCACATTGTGCATTGGAGAATGAAAAGTTGTAACATTGCTAAATATGTTGTGTGGAATGTAATTTACCACTAGAACATTTGAGCATTGGAGATGCTCTTAGACGTTAGAGGACGTCAGATTTTTTTTTACCTTTTGAGGTATAATTCTCCTTGTATAAAATTTCTGATTGCGTTGAGCTTAAGTGACAGACTCGTACGTTTCGAAATTCTATGTGGCAAAAGCTATGATTTAGAGTTAGGATTGAATATAAATTAATAATTTTTATACAAACATAATTAGCTTTGAATGCATTAAATGTCTATTAATCAAGTAAACCGTGATTGATCTTTTCATTCTTTTCTTCCATTTAATTACCATAAGTTTTAAGTTTCATTTCCTTACATTACCATATATATATTACATTTTCTTTTCTTACATTACCGTATATTACATTTTTATTATTTAATCCATACATCAGTTACTATAGATTGTTTTTGCAAAAAAATAAAAATAAAAAAAAAAAAAAAGTTATATAGATTGTTAATTGATATATCAAATTAATTATTTTTTGACGATCTTGATCTGCCATCCACATTACATATATAAAGTACAAAGCAGTTGTATATAGCTATCCTTATAAGTATAATTTAAATTTATTTATCAAAATGAATTTAAAAACTATCAAATAAAAGTATAAAGCATCGTAGGAATTGATAAAAATTTAGTTGTATTTGATGTAGCTCTCATAATAGCTTGGCAGATCGACTGGAGTAGTTAGCTCGGGTAGATCGGGCAAGGAGAGCTCCAACCTGTTCAGAAGTAAGCAACCCAGTCAATAAGCTCGTAATCGAGCTCAAAATATTGGTCAGCCTGAAGAAGACGACCTGGAGGTACCGACCAACAAAGGCCCAACAATAAATCCGACTCGAGGTTTTGGGAGATTGGTTAATTTTTTGTGTTTCTCTATATTATATTTCTTTTTTTTTCTGTTTCTCCTGTTATTTTGGTACTTGTGCTTTTGTGAATATATGTTATTTGTGTTTTTTCCGTATCTTGCTTCTTTTGTTGGTCTTGTTTGCTTTGGTTTGTTGTTCTTGTACGAGTAATTCGCTTGAGGAGCTTCGATAGACCCGTACAACTATTCCTATGACAGAAACTCTCGTAGACACCTCGATAACTACCAAGAGGAGACATACCCATCGTATGGTGAGTTACCCCATTCATATTCGAGGTATCCACCTTCTTATTTTTATGCCAGATGCTCTACATCTCATGGTACGTGTTCAACGTACGGGTCGGTTCACGACCCGGCCCGGCTCGCCGGGTCGACGAGTCTCAAATGCTGGGTCCAGAATCGGCCCAGCTATACCTAAGGGCCGGTTCACCGGCGGTTCATTGAACCGCCAGTTTTAAAAAAAATTAAAAAAACAACTACGACCTGTCGGAAGACCCGGAATCGGCCCGGCCCTGCGGGTCAAAAAGCAAAAAAATTGACCTTGAACCGACCCTTAAAGGCTAAGGGTCCGATTCAAAAACCGTTATATCCAGGCCGGGTCTGGACCGGTTCGATCCTTAGCTATGTCTATATCTTGGATATGGCATGCATGAACCCTTTTCACAGGGCATCTCTAGACGAATATAAGTACCATTAATATGGGTCACGAAGAGCTGCTTTACATCCTCCACCTTCGGACTACTACTATCAGTCGCCTCCCGATTATGGTGATTCAACACCTCTACTCGAGCCAACTCATGAATCTTCTCTAAACCGTTTACATAAAATTATGGAAAAATTGGAGAATTGCATTCAATCTCTCTGTTCTTAAATGACTCTCATGTCAAAAAATGAAGAAACCGAGTCCTATGCTCCGATCTCCTTCATATGAGTATCCATCAATTGGTCAACCAAGTATACCGAGGCTTCATATTCAACAAAGGTTGAACCTACCGAACATCAGTGAGAGGTCTTGATAAGAACTCGAGGCACTTGCTAGTTTTATATATGTCAATCATCGAAGTTTTATAAATGGGAAGAGTATACTCATTTCATCCGTTCTTCAAACAACTTACGAAATTCAACTCTACCATAATTGTATTTCTTTATTTAGATGCATTCCAAATTCCACTTGGGTGATATTATCAAGAATTATTTGAGAGACTAGCCTATAATGCAAGTTTCGAACTATATGGTATATCGGTTTACCTCTTTTGAGAGGGATGGTGCACAAAATCTCTTAAACACGGGTAAGGACAATGATTTGGTTAGAGAAATCTTCTCCCTTCACGGAACAGATGTAGTTTTGTCCATTTATTGGAGTGCCTACAAACTTTTGTCCTTCAATATTCTATCAAGTTTTGTAAGAAAGTTGATCACAACTGTTTTATCATTTGCTATGTTACTTGTATACTGAAGAGTGGAATAGTCATGGTATAAACTCTTCATGTGAGTGTATCCCATCAATTCATCGATTTGAAGCCGGATTATCTTAAAATTTAAACTAGTTCAGTCCTGGAGAATTTTGTCTGTGAAGTAATTTTGACTAGCCATAGAGATTTAACAACGAAAACCCATTCGGAAATCCAATCACTCTACAATACATATTATAAGAGCGATCATTTTATTATCATAAACTCCACTTACGAAAACCATAAACATAAGAACACAACTGGTTCATAGTAAATCTACAACACACACCATACGTAGAATTAATTAAGATGCTTCTAGAGATATCATCCTCTCAGACCCCAGTGCCGGTAACTCCAGCTTTTGGGCGCGGGTCGGCACCAAGTTGGCCCATCGGGTAATCCGCATCCCTATACCCGGGCCCATATCTGCTGCTGAGAAACCCGGCATGGAGCAACAACACGTAGAGCAATTGGGTGAATCCGAGTATTATAACAAAAGCCTCGAGCACCCTCAGCCGCCAACCTCTCCATCCTCCTATGTTTATTTCCTTGCACGCCAAACTGCGCGAACAAGATACCGTGCATAAGTGATTAACCATGGTTAAGTTGAACACGTGATTAATTAGCTTAACCAAGATGATTATTAGCAATTGGACATCAAGTTAGCTAAGTTGGTTATGTGTAATTTCATTGCACATTTGTTTGGGGTAATAAAAGTGTTGTCTGCCTTTTTCTTGAGCAGAATTACAAATGAAGAGATTTTTCTGCGGTTTTTTAGATGCATGTAATTCTCATTTATAAAAGCTTACAAATAAGTAAGTTTTACAAGATATGTAGTAATTTGGTTAGTAGTATGATCAGGAGAAAGAACTACAATTAACTGATATTTTATCATTTTTCAATTCTTTAAGAACTTGATTAGAGTCTGCTCACCCAAAAGCGAGTGCAGTGACCGCCCACGCAACTATGGAAGATGAGCCGGCAGCGGCAAGGCTGTCGTTCCTCCATGCGCGGAGGTGATTGCCGCCTGCTATTTTTGACACTATTCCAAGCACGGCAGCCAGTATAGAGAATGTCAAGAAGTGACCAGTTGCCCCATTTCCTCCCATGCCTAACAATAATAGGAGTTACATATTTGAATAATAATTTCCTAACAATAATAGGGTTACATATTTGAATAATAAATACATACAGTATTTCTATCTCCATAGTATAGTACACAATTACTTACTTGAATATTACTTAATACAATATTTCTATCTCCATAATATAGTACAATTACTCACTTGGATGAGCAGTTTGGCCATTGATGTACCTATTCAGACACCAGCTCGCAAAACCTAACACTATCAAATACATGACCAAGTTGATGAACATCAACGGAGCTGCCATAGTTCTTGCAACTGTCCTGGCCATTTGTGATTCTCCTTGTTTTTTTTTTTTATATATATATATTTTTTGAAATTTATCAGATGAAATTTCGACTTACTCGATGCAGATATCTCCAATTACATTTTATAGAGATAAAAAGGTTTTCGGTGCAACAAAACGTGTCGTGCAGATAGATTGAGTAGCTTACAGCTGTAGACACAGGTGTCCGATAAATTAATACGCATTTTTTAAATTTTTTATTTTTATTGAACAAATCTGAGTAACTCGCATGGGTACAGACACGTATATAAACTATATAAGATAGAAAACGTTTTATATATTTTGATACACACTAACAAAATATATTCATGATTATATATCAAAAACATTTTAATAAAAAATACATTAATAATCAAAAACATCTTAATAAAAATGCATTAATTTTATATGATTATATATCAAAAACTAATAAAAATTGTATTAATTTTATCATTAGAGTTAGGAATGGTCATATCCTTCTAAAATTTTACTTAAAATATAACCATAATTCACGTATCACTTATATTGGATTAAAGTTGGGAGATTGAAAGTCAGGGAGAAAATATATACTCTATACTTTATTATATAATATTAAAGTTGGTGATTTGGATGAATAAAATGTTTTATTTAATCTAATGTCTTTGGTTCATCTACTAAAATTTATTACTTAATAAATATTATTAGAGTCTATTCTTAAAATTACATAGATTTGTTCGAGAGAAACACGACAAGACTTAATCTTATCTTATTGCTCTCACAAAATGTAAAGGTGAATTATATATAATATATATAAGTTTAAATTTATTTTGTTAAATAAGTTAGTGCTAGTATCATAAAATTACAAATTTTGAATTAGTAGTTTCATATAACACCTTTGACGATGTTTCTCTTCTTTAAATTTGGATAATTACGATGCCCAAAATAATTCATTAAGCCATGGAAACAATTTTTAGAGAAATTTATACTTTATTCAATACGAAATATAAGATGGNTCATAAGAAAAAACTATTTCGTTTACCTAAATACAACCCAATAATACAATATCGCATGATATCATACAAAGTTGAAAAGTTATCTTATTTTATTCATCATTTGGTTACATAGTTGATTTACGAAACAAGAAAAGTTATCTCATCATTTTGTTACATAATTTACGAAGACAAGTTGAAAAGTTCTTGCATCTTATTTTGTTGTCATTTGGTTACAGATTTACAAAGTTTCTAGCATCTTATTTTATTATCATTTGGTTACATTACTATTTGATCCACATGTTTATGCTGAAATAAGTATAGCTTACATATTAACTTTGTCTAAGGTTGTTTGAGAATTTTGCTAAACATGTTATTTATCAAAATATATAGTAGTGTAATGATAAACAATATTAAATAATATTTATAAGTTTTAAATTAGTATGTCATACAATTTACTTAAACTAATTTATTCAAAATATGATGGAGATAAAAAGGATAATATCTTTAGAATCTTTAATTTAATTATTTGTTTCTCTCTTTATTATTTATATTTATATTAAAGGGAATCCTATTTACCAAATTTAGTAGCTAGAAAAGTCAACAGCATTTATTGCCATTACTATTTCCATAATATAAAGTTTTATTTAATATTTATTTTTCTGTTACGATTTTTAAAAACAGATATGGTCAAATTCTCTCATCATTAATTACTTTCCATTAATTACAATTTATTTATTTATTATTTTCTTAGCAAAAACAGACCAACATTAATTAATTTCCTTAAAATGTGGAAGTTGTTGCTTTATTTTTGTACAGAAAATCGGGCTTCATTATAGAAATTTCTTCAATTACACAATGAATTTGCTATGATATAATTATTTTTTATGGGAACTTTTTTTTTCACAGAAAAATATGGCATTTCAATAAGATTTTCGATTTTTTACGACTGATTGTTATCATGCTATGAAATTGAACATTCCAATATACCTTAACAAAATATACACGTGGTGTATACATCAGTTAATAGAACTATAGAATCCTCATATTTTTATATATATGTATGTAATTTTTCTATTACCAAATTTAATTGATAGTTGTTGTGTTATGGGTTTTTTCATAATTGTTACTTGGTTATTGTGATATTTAGTTTGGTTGGTGTCGCAAAAATTCTAATCTGTATATATAATAAGAATAATTGTTACAATGCAAATTAGAAAAATATTGATATTAGAAGAGATTGAGTTCATGGCTTTTCTTAAATCAAAGTTGTTTAATTAGTATTGTTTGTCCCATTTTTGTTGCTATTTTTGTTTATGTTTTGCGTGTTTTTTTCCCCCGTTTTAGGTTGTTTGTTAGGTGTTACCGGTCCATCTAGTCATTTTGCGTGTTTCTAGTATTATCTAGTCGTGTTTCGTGTTTTCGTCTTCTTTTCTCCTATTTTCTCTTTCTTCTCGCATTTTTTCCATTTGTGGTGGTTTCAGGTTGTCCCGGTTCCCAAGTGTTTCATCACAGTACACGCAACCGAACTTGCGGAAGTTGAGTTTCCAGCTCGGGCAGTACCCGAGCAACGTTAGACGAGCACACGAGCCGAGAAAAGGCCATCTTTCGAGCTGCCAGGATCTTAGCGCCACTAAGGTACCCTGGCTAGCGGCGTTTTCATTTCTAGTGCCTTCAGCGTCGAACGGCTAAGGTGCCTTAGCGGGGCTAAGGCACCTTAGCGGCGCTAAGGACCCGTTTTGTAACAACTTCAACTTTTTCGGGATTTCGAAATGGAGGGTTATTTTTTCGAACCTAGGGCTTATGTTGGGGTATGGTGAACATTGTACTTTTGTTTTTCACCTCCAAAAACACCTTTTCTCTTGCTTTTCATTTTGGTTTCGATCTTGGGTAGCGAAAGCTCCAAGATTCGACTTTAGGATTTGGACTACTCATTGTTGCTTTGACATTGGATTCGTTTTAATCGTAAGCTTCCCTTTCATTTTATTTATGGTTATGATGGCTTGGATTGATGTGTATGTTGATGTTGAGTTGATGATGAGTAGCTAAATTCATTAACTAGGGCTAGGGGATAATTGTTCCGGTTCGATTTCGTTTGTGTAATTATTGAATTGCTCAATCTATTCGAGTTGTGTTAAACCTAGGATTGAATTGATTGATCACCATTTTAATCCACTAAATCGATTCTTAGAACCGAAAGGGGGTGAATTGATCGATCTAGGCTCGTTTAGAATAGACTTGTTCGGAGACGTATTGTCTATGTGCTAATTGATTCTATTATTGTTCATTTACGTTTATTCTATTGTTATGTAAGTTATTGAGAATGAATCTCTGAATGAGTGAGTATTTCGTGGTCTTTAGCCGAGTGATTGATTGTTGCTTAATTTATTGAGAACCGGAAACGATTGGCCCCGACACCCTAGTCTCTTTTATCATTATTTGAATTATGCTTTGTGCTGTGAGATCGGAATTGCCTTGTTTGAGAATTTTCGTAGTTAATCTCGTAGTTGATAATCAAATCCAACCAGTTGAATTAGAGTGTTTAGGATTTAATTTCTCTTTTTGTGATTGAATATACGTACAAGATAATCCGTTCAACCTTTCTTGAGACACGACCCGGTGTTCGAATCTTTCGATTCTACTCCGGTAAAAATTACTACAACAAGTATACAAAATTAAATTCTAAAAAATTATATATGTATATTTTATATATTATTTATACACTATTTAATTTTAAATTTATTTACATACTTATATAAATAATACCAACGTGCATTAAATATATTTCATTACATAGAATAAAAAGAATAAGAAGACGTGCAACTTGTATAACTTTATAAATAATAATGACATTATATGGCAACAGAGTTTAATAATTAACTATTATATAATGAATAAGAATAAATAAAATTGTTATTTTCTCTTATATTAAGGAATAAATATATATAATAAAATTAAATTTATATTAGTATAAATGTGTTAGTGAGATAATATATTAATTATTTTACAAGTTAGCCCTAACATGCTAACGTTTAATGTTCTGACTAATAAAACAACGCTAATTAAAAGATGTGAAAAATAGATTACAACCCTATTTTTTTTAAACTTAACAGTGATTAAAAGAGGTGGAAAATAGATGATAACTCTTTTCAGACTTAAACGAGACTTAACGGTGATTAAAATAGGTGAAAAATAGGTAATAACCGTTCTCAGACTTAAACGGACAGAGCCTGTGAAAATAATTCATTTAATATCTCTCTCCCGTGCATCGCACGGGATACGTACTAGTTATTTATTATTATTAAAAATTCTTGTCTTGTTGAACAAGCTAGAAATGTTGGACTTTAAGGAGTCTTATTTAAGGACTCTTCTTCTTTTATTCTGAGCAGAGAGATTTCTCTTCTCTTATTTCTCATTCATACGTGGTAAAGTCTGGATGCGGCCAACGTCCTCAATTGGGTGGCCTTCGTCGAATCTGTCTTCAGCTATTCAGGGGCCCGTGCGGATGAGCAGGGGTCAACCACATATGAGGGTTCCTCTCGTTTTGATGACGAGGGGTCGTACGAGTATGAGGGTCCGCCTATTTATGACGACGACGAGGCAAAAAAAGTTGACGACAATCCCGATACCGATCGCCACTTTTACAGCTGACCGTCTGATTCTCCACCGTCTCTTGGTTGATGCCGGTGGTGCAAATTCTTGAATCCCTCTCGAGAGGCCCGAGTCACAACCATGTCGATTCTTCTAAGAGAGGCGAAAGTCTTCTACACATCAACTTTGATATTTGTTTTTTGGGATTTTGTACCATAGTAAGGAGGCTGCTTATGCTTCGTACAAGCAGCATGCGGATGCGCGTCGTCGCCATGTCGAGATTGCAGTCAACAATTATGTGTGGACCGTATTGACGACGAATAGGTTTTCTACTAGTGAGTATACCAAATTGTCGGTCCGTAAAATTGGGTGTTTCATGTCAACCACATGGGGACACTCCATGATGATGCTTTCAATGGAAACGATATTGTGTCTTTAATTTAATTATTTGTTTTTCTCTTTTTTATTATTATTATTATTATTATTATTATTATTATTATTATTATTATTATTATTATTATTATCCTTGACATATATATTAGACAAGCTAGGAATATAGGGCTTTGGGAAGCCTTATTTAAGGATTCCTTTGTTCTGAGCAGTTGAATTCAAATAAAAGAATTCGTATTCGAAAGAGATTTTTCTTCTCTTATTTCCCATTTGTACGCTGCGCTACATCAAAATATTATGAAAATTTTAACTTGTGAAAATATATATATTGTCTATCTAAAATATTAAAATCAAATACAATGTTATATAACATGTGTAGAAATATTCTTGTATTTTTATTAAAATCATATAATTTTATATAACAAAAGCAGAACTACTGATGTATAATTGTTTGAAAGGATCACCTAAAATTTTCTAAACTATTAATAAAAAAATATGTCTAAAAACATCTAGATTATATTATATTGTTACGTACATACCATGAAATCCAAATTTTTATAAATTTATAAATCAAATTTATGAATAAAAAGTTCTCTGCAACACACTATTGCATGAGATTGATATTATCTTATATCTCTAAAAGACATACAAATTTATAGATAAAATATATATTATTTATATCTGAATTTAAATCGATAAAGAAAATCACATAGATATTGGGGCAATCGTACAAATTAAAATTTAAATTTAGCATAGTTTTTAAACTCGGCCCGGTAATTGATCCGGGCAGGTCTCCGGGTCACCTGTTCAACTGCCTGGTCACCGGTTCAATTGCTGAACTGGACAATTAATTTTAAAATTTTTAAAATTATATATATAGTATTTTTTACATATAAATATACATAAAGGTAACAAAAATAAATATTTTGTATACAAAATTTGTACATTTAAGTGTTAATAATATTGTACCTCACAATAAATATTTACTATATCATTATATTTACATAGTTTTTACTTTTTATATAAAAAAATATTTAAAAAATAAAAATACAAGAAATAAACAGTTGATTCCCATAAGGCTTCATTCTTTTTGGGTATTTTCTCACACATGAGTGTGGGCCCCTTCTCGACAGTTAGACAACTTTGTTCCCCCTCTGGGCGGCGTTGGTGCCGCACCCCTGGGACCCACCGCTGGTGGATGATGGCAAGGTCTGGGCGTTCGACACTGGGGAGAAATTCCAGAAGCATCTCGGCTTTCCGATTCACCGGCTTTTCGTCTCCCCTTCCTCCGCTGCCTTCAGACCGCCACTGAGGTCGTCACGGCTTTTTGTACCGTTTAAATCCTACATCTCTCTCCACCACTATAGGACATGATTCTTCCTCGCCGTCAATCTTCTCCAACTCCTCCCTCTCCTCTCCACCCCCTCTCTCCCCTTCAACCTCTCCCCTACCGCCAACCCCAACCCCGCCCCTACCAGCGAAAATCTAATTGAGGATTGATGATTTTTTTGAAAATTAGACAAGTTTCAGGGACCTATTAGTGATTTCATAAATTTTCATTATATTGCAGTTTAGTTATTGGTCAAATATGCAATTTATCAAAAATAAATTAAATGCACATTAATGATAAGTAAAATGAACAATATTGTGTGTGAATATACAAATTAAAAATACGTGTACCACAAAATGCACAATAGTGTTAGACTAGACTAAATGCATATTAATGTCTGCGAGAATGCACATAAGGATAACAATGTATTCTGAGAAATGACGAAATATAGGCGTGAAAAATCAAAAGTACACATAATTACAATAATTTCACCACTCATTTGACCAAAGTTGGACTTTTTAACTGCGTCTGAAGCATTGATATATCACATTCGACCCGTTACTATGCATGTTTATTTTTTTTTTACTTTCACATATTCTCATTTGATCCTACTTTATATATATGGATATTAATATATATTGAAAGTATATCATAATTTTATTTATTTAAAATTATTTTTAAATAAAGAACAAACAAAAAGTAACTTAATAACTCTAGTAACTTTTAACTGAATTCAAATGAGCTAGTCAATAATAACAAAAACTTATATAAAACGATTATATTGAAATATAATACCTAGTAGTCTTCAAATTTATTTATTTACTTGATTATATTATCACCTTTTAAAAAAATATATATATGTATCGTTTCGATCTATATCTAGAATCGCATTCAGAAAAACGCGACTATATCCGGAAAAAGTTCAAAAGTTCACCTCCCCCTTATGATTTATCCTCTCCCCCTGCCTTCCATGTCCAGTCCACCCCAAAATCCACAATGCTAATAACCTCTCCGCCGATACCTCAGTTCAAATCCCTCTCCCTCGTCACCCCATTCCTCCCCGCCGCCGCTACCCCGTTCGTAAGTCCCTTCAGGCCCGCAACCACCACCACCGCGCCGCGGCCCTCCGTCTCCTTCCCCGTCATCAGGGCGATGAGGTCCCTGCAGGGTAAGGTGGTCTGCGCCACCAGCGACAAGACGGTGGCGGTGGAGGTCGTCCGCCTGGCCCCGCATCCCAAGTACAAGCGCCGCGTGAGGAAGAAGAAGAAGTACCAGGCCCACGACCCGCTGAACCAGTTTAATGTCGGGGACCTGGTCCAGCTCGAGAAGGGCCGGCCCATTAGCAAAACCAAGACTTACTGGGCCGTTTCTGTCCCGCCGCGGACCAGACCCAAGCCCAAGGAGGGAGCCGAGCGGGTGCCGCCCAAGGAGCTGGGGATTCCGTTGGAGTCAGATAGCTGAGGGATGAGGAAAATGGGAATGTGGTTTTTTGTTCAATCTCTAGTAGCTCATCGTGCATTTCTCATGTTAATTGTAATGACTGTTTATTTTTAATTGATGTTTTGGCTTGTTGAAGGCTGCTCCATTTCATTTATGATATGTGAATTGTGATTTCGATTTGTTAATTACATTTGGTGTAGTCAACTTTTTATGCTTGCTGTGTGGAAATTGAGATTTTTGGGATTGCTATTGCATATAACTACAATAGAATGCTTGCAGCATTGTTGTGTTCGGCAAAATTCTTATGTGAGCCCATTAGATGGATCGACACGCCATATACAACAACAACAACATACCCAGTATATTCCCAACAGGTTGGGTCTGGGGGGTCAGTTGTACGCAGACCTTACCCTTGTAATTATACAAGGAGGTTGTTTCCGTAGCGACCCAAGGTGCATTGCATCGTTTGATATATTTTTTTTTTTTCTAGAAACTTCACTAATAGAAGAAGCACTAGAATTTAATTGAGCCATTTTGATCTAGTCCATTATTAGCATTATGCCAGGAGAATTGTAAACAATGACTCTTCCAGCTCCATTTCCAATGGACAAATCGACACGCCATATCATTTTACAAAATTGAAATGTGTGAAATTCTCATGCTGCATAGTTTACATAAATTTTCTGAAAACCTACTGTCCTTCAAATCTTCATGTCAATGTAATGATCTTTTTGTTATCAAATAGTACATTATTTGATTTCAATGTTTGAGTTCATTGTTGAGAATTGACATATTGCCACCCCCTCTGCAGTGTTAAGTGAGTTCCAATCAATTACTATTTACTCACAAGCTTCAGTTACCGAGTCCATGAGTTCTCTCCAAAATCTAACATCAGAATAGTTTTTCATTTTTCCCAAAAAATATCATAAATTTGCATCAAATTGTAGAATTCAACAGTATGCTTGGCCTAATGCTGTAATATATCTGCATGCCAAAATACTAACAAAACCGAGAACTAGTGGTTTGTCATCTACCCTCTTCCTAGCTATTTAGTTATGAAAAGCAAAAATATATCACATTCATATATGTCCAATACCACTATCATTTAATCCTATTTTTATATAGTGAACAGCAAAACAGACTGCAAATCAGTCTTCACATTGCAGACTTCTCTTTATGTTCTGCAACGTGCAAGATATGAGCGTGTTGACCACATCCACAGAGTCAATTGAAAGCTTTGCATTCGTCGAGTCTCCTATGAGCATTTGAAATGCAATGGTAAGCAAAGATCCTCCTTCCGAGCCCTTTTCATCTGGCTTTGAAGTGATCACGAACGGCCGGGATTCAATCCCATCAGGAAGGATAGAGAAACCTGATGGTAGAACTGCTATGTTGCTAGAGTCACAGCCTGTCATCACAGATTGCATCCCGTTTGCATCCACAGGTGCGTACACAACTGTTGCTTCGTACGCGTTTGTGGAATTATCTTGGAGTATCCATGTGTTATGTTCATTGGTTTTCATGGCCTGTAATATTTAAGAATAAAGAACTTGTATTAGGAGGACATATTTTTTGGGGATGAGTATGGAAGGTGCCTTTGAAAGTTGGATCTAGTTTAAAAACAAACCATCTGATTACCATGTCGTATTGAAGGGCATGATTGTGATTTTATATTTATGATTAAATCCTTGAGGTTTGCCCCACAATGGAAAATTCCAGTTATTTGTTGAAAGTCCAAGTAGCTCGTGAGGTCTGTTTATGTTTTACATTTTTCACCCTTGAAAATAGATCTTTTTGTTTGATTAATCTAAGAGCCCAAACAGTAACTTTCAGTTCATGCTTAAGGCTGTAAACAAGCTGAGCCGAGTTAAGTAAACGAGCAATAAATCGAGCTCAAACTCAACTCGTTTATCAATATAAACGAGCCGAGTTCAAGCCTTAACAACCCGATCTTGAGCTTTAATAAACTATAGAAAATTATATAAAATTCTATAAAATTGTCTTTTGGAGCCTTATCGAGTTGAGCTCACGAGCGGCTCATTTCGTTTAACAGCTCTATGTATATATGTAACTCATGCTCACCAGGACTGCAGCTGCATTTCCTCTGTCTTGCCCTTTAGCCAAGTTTGCTACTGATTGTATTGTGCTTCTATTGGACAAGGTGTCCCACTGTGATTTACCAAAGAAAATGGTCAATGACAGTTATTAACTCTTAAAATGGAAGCATATGTCAAGAGGGCTTTTGTAATTTTTGTTTAGATTTTTCTTCTCCTTTTAATATATTACTAAAGAGATAATTAGCAAAAAACCTCATTTCTTCGACTTTCGTCTCGCAGGAAGTCGAATAAGGCATGTGGGGAAACAGGCAGCCACACACAAGAAACTGCACACAAGATTGTGCCAAGAGGTACTCCAGTGTCACTTATGTTTTTTCTGGAAGTTAGTCTTATGTCATCTCCAGTTTTGGTAGTGATCTTGTTCCATGAGTTGTAGCTCGAGTCTCCCAGTGCTCGGCAAAAATTCCAGGTCATTCTTTGCGCCAATTTCAAAATGCTTTTTCTCCCAGCAAGTGTAGCAACTCCTGTTTGATTTATTGAATTACCTTGTTTAGATAGGTAGTGCCAAGTTTCACTATTTTTTTTAGCAAAATATGGATAAAAATGCAATTTTTGTGCTGTGGCTGTGGGGGAATAAAATTTTATATGAGTATCAGTATTTCAAAATTCCATCTGAATTCATCTGAAATTTCCCTGCAGAACAAGAAAATAAAAAATAAAAAAAATTCTTGTTTTTCTGTTGAAAAATAACAAAACTTGTCTGAAACCCGTGATTTCTCTAGTCAATACCGGATAATACCCTACTGGACTGTACTTGTTATTAAGCCATCATATAACTGTTGGAACAAATTAAGATAATTACCACTTGAATCCCTTGTGGGAACATTAGTAGCGACAAGGAACACGAGCCTCTCACACTGCTGCTGCAGGGTTGAGATCCAGCGCTTTGCGCTGTATGCTAAGCCACTGTTCACTACTGTTCGATACAGAGAATGAACCATGGTTTTCTGGCATTCCAAGTGCTCTACCCAAGTCACCTTAAAAAAGAATTCCAAACAATCTTCAATTGGTAATAAAACAAAACAAAGTCTAGAAAGTAAAACTCAAAAGATACTTCCAATTTTCTCTTAACAACCTTACAATGGCCGTTGGATTTGTCCTCAATGATACATCCAGATGGCCTCTTTCTGCATTTCATTAGAGAAGCATCGATTTTATCCTCGATTTTGTCAATCGATACCTCTACAATTGCCCACTGATTGGGGCTCAGTTGTTTGCAGTGTCGAATGAAATACACTTCTCTTGTGGCCACCATTGGAGTCAGCATTTGCATCTCTGCAAACATCTGTCACAATTTTCGACCAATAATTTCACATTATCTGTGTAATATTCGATCAAAAGATCACGACATTAAATTAAAATGACTTACCAAGTGAACTGCACCATTTTTGTTGGCACCTTCTCCACTGCAAATAACATCCACAATAGCTGCCTTCGCTAACATGCCAGGAAACAGCTCTTTCCACTGATTCTGAGATTTATAAAAGAATATATATGAAGAAAAAAATCCATATTCCAAAAGATTATATACATATAATCCTATTATATATACGAAAATTTACTAAACCAAAATATCGAACCACGTCCATAAAGCTCTGAACCAGCCATGGCAGATCAACAAAGATGGCTCTGCTCTCTCTTGAAGCCTCTATAGATAATTTCTTTGTCTGCTGCATAATATCGCGATTATCGCCACAAATTTCTTTCACGTACTCATCATAGTTTAGAATTTCGCGGCCCGTTTCGAAGCTTCGAATCCACAATGGCTCTCCTTGAGTAGCCATTTTGTGCAGCTCGTCTGTTGCTCGATCAATGGCATCCATTATGTGTGATTTCTCAAGGCCGAAATTTCCCATGCAGAAATCTAAGGGGCTCTTGTTTTCTTGATCATTTGATGAATGGCATGAGGAGCCTGTTTGTGATGTTGGAGGAGGGTGTTTACCGATAATGGACGTGAGTTTTTCGACCTGTGTTTTTCTTTTATTAATGTAAATGTGAATATGGGAAGAATAAACATAACCTAATTAAAGAAAGAAAAAGAAAAAAGTAGAAACTAAAAAGGAAGACACTATCATCTTGCAAAATTAATTACAGGTTCTCTGTTTACAGAAAATACTGGGGTCTTATAATTTTGGAAGATAAGTGTTTTGTGTTTAGAGGGCTAACGGTGTTTTTGGTCCCTCAAGTACAGTGAGGTTGTACCAATCACATGGAGCAAGCATATAATGGTAACTCTGGTAATTAGGATTGTAATTATATTGTCTTTTTGGTTCTCTATGAATTGAATGTTTGTGAGCAAAAACTCGTTTGAACTCATTGGTGTTCTGATAAAACTTGTTTGTTTATTAATCGAGCCAAACTGGAACAAAAAATTAGGTTTATTTGTTAATCGAACAGACAAGAGAATGTTCGCGAAAGTTCGGTAATGTTTGCATTCTAATTTAAAATATAATTTGTTTATCTTTATATTTATATGTATAATATTTTAATAGAAAATTATAAAGTAATAGAAATATTTTTTATTTTTTTTTTTTTTTTT